CTCATGAATCTCAGGAATATGGGACTTGAAAGTTTTATCCCTTTGCAATGTGTCCATGTTGCTATTTGTTTCATTTTTATATTTTTCTAATACTTACAAAATGTTTTGATACAAGTTCCATTTATGTTTTTGATATTGTCTGTTTGTATAATAAATTTTAAAAATAGTTATTGGGTGTTTTATTAACAATTGCAAGTTTGCAACATTCAAATTTATACTCCCTATTTCGGGCAGGGGCGAGAATATTCGCCTTTCGGAGATTAGCAATTGCTCAAAAACTAACTAACACAATTCCATTTATATGGCCTCATTCAACGTATATTGAGATACTCTATCCACTCTAGGGAGTTCTGTTTGAAATTCTAATGTATCATAAATTGCCCAATGAAGGGTATTAACAGTGGTTTCTGTTGTAGTATCCTGTTCCGTACCACATCTGTCTTGAATGTCAATCTGATTGGTCGATTTTTTCCCCTCGAATACCCCCCCAAGTCTGTGAAAATTTTCTACCTGAGACATGTCCCTCTCTCCTGTTATTGCAATGATGTTCTTAATCTTTGTTTTCTCCCAATGTTTTCTTTCATCATAGGTCTGCCCTTCAGCCTCCTGAAGCCCATGAATATGTGTGTGTACTCACCTAGTTGAGGTTACGGGGGTCGAGTCCGAGCTCCTGGCCCTGGTGTGTGTGTGTGTGTGTGTGTGTGTGTGTGTACTCACCTAATTGTGGTTGCAGGGAGTGTGTGTGTGTGTGTGTGTGTGTGTGTGTGTGTGTGTGTGTGTGTGTGTGTGTGTGTGTGTGTGTGTGTGTGTGTGTGTGTGTGCTTTTGTGTGTGTGTGTGTCTATGCTCAAAAGCAGGAGTATACTGCTGTATAATGAAGCGAAATAAAATTTGATAATAATAATAATAATAATAATAATAATAATAATAATAATAATTATATAATTATTATTATTATTATTATTATTATTATTATTATTATTATTATTATTATTATTATAGCCATGACAAAGCGGTAGGAGACTGAGAGGCAATCAGATTTTCTCCAAAAGAAAAGAGGATAGCTTCAATATTTTTCATAAAGAGCCCTTGACCGACATCAAGGCACTCCGTAATCTGAAGTGACTCGATATTTTTTTTGGTGGTGGCCAACTTTCGCCAGTCATCAGGAGAACCGAAGACGACAGGCGATAAATATCTCGTATTGACAACTATTTATTGGAATTCTGTCCCTTCCAAATGAAACCAATAACGCACACATTTATGATAATTATATCCGCTATACATTTTCATATTTCAAACTAGAAGACACATTTCCTGTCCTGGGGTAATTCAATTATTGGAAATGCAATCACTTACATATTTCTCTGTGTGTATCAGATCCCGGGGGAAGGAAAGAGGAAACAAATGCGGAAATAGACGTGGTCTTTATTGTTGGATATATTATACACAGTTCACAGTCTGGG